CACATCCTCCAGAGCCGACTCATAGGGCCTCTCGCTGTCGGAGTCTGGTGGCAGCTCCAACGGCTCCTGCTGGGCCAGAACAAGAGGTCCCCAAACTTGGCAACTTTAAGACTTGTAGACTTCAACTCCCAGCTATATAGCTATAGCTGGCTGGAGAATTCTGGGAGCTGAAGTCCACAAGTCTTAAAGTTGTCACGTTTGGAGACCTCTGACTTAATGCATGTAAAAGGGGAAGTGTGTGCTTCCTAGTGTTAGAAAAAGAGGAAAAGATTGGAATAAAAGGAGAGATGAGAGTGGTAAAGGAAAAAATGTTAAAATAGACCCAGTTTGGTCTAGTGATTAAAGTCTTAGGCTAGAAACCAGGAGACTGTGAGTTTTAGTCCCACCTTAGGGATAGAAGCTGGCAGGGTGACCTGGACTAATCACTCTCTCTTAACTCAACCACTTTGCAGGGTTGTTGTGGGGAAAATAGGAGGAGGAAAGAGTATTAGGTATGTTCACCGCTTTGAGTTATTTATAAAAATAAAGGCAGGAAATTAAATAAATGATTCTGTTACATTTAATTCAAGCAGGTCCACCTAGAAGTTCCACTGATTTATTAAAATGAATTAAAAAATAGAATACTTTTTATAACTATCATATTGCTTGTATGTGTGAGCAGGGGGTTGGACTAAAAGACTTCCAAGGTCCCTTCCAGCTCTGATATTCAATTATTATGTTATTCTACCAGCTCATATCTACAGTATGTGTTTGCAGGATCCTGAAGGATGTTTTATAACATCTTCTAATGCAGTGCCCTACGACCCTGGCAATTTTAAGATATGTAAACTTTAACTCACAGAATTGCCCAGCCATCAGGCTGACTGGGAAATTTGGAATTGAAGTCCACATATCTTAAAGCTGTTAAGTTTGAGAAACTTTCTAATGTTTTGAGAATGAACTCAGGCAGAGAAGCACCTTTACTTTACAAATGTTTCTTCTTTAAATTGGGTTTATGCACTTCTTCCCAAAGAATAAAGCATTCTTGTTGGTTAGAGTGGTTAGTCTCTGACTACCCAAAGATTACTAGCCTCTTTCTTTCTTTCTTTCTTTCTTTCTTTCTTTCTTTCTTTCTTTCTTTCTTTCTTTCTTTCTTTCTTTCTTTCTTTCTTTCTTTCTTTCTTT